CTTTCTTTGTCTAATCTAACTGGTGCGCCCTGGGGCATGTATGTTCAGCTGGATTTCTAAGCTTCCTGCAGAAGGTGGCAGGCACCTCTAAGTAGACAGGGAGCCAAACACATCTGAAGTTGGAGTAACTGCTAATTCAGGAAGCCCCACAGTGTAGGGTCTAGGCCAAGTGAAACCCCCTTCCCCACACCCACCCTTCCTCCGACTCGGATATCCCACAGGCCTGTCTTCTCAGAGGTCACCTGCGAAAAAGCAGAGTGATGTCACCATTGTCCCCCAAACAGATTCAAAGAAGCTGAATAGGTCTACAGTCGGGAAGTTGGTGTCACAGAAACGAAGGTGACCTATCCAAGTGTCATTCCTAGATTCCTCAGCCTGGGGTCTCTGGGATGGAGCCAGCAGGAGGGCGAACACCCCTTGAATGCTCTCAGTCAGCCCCTAACCTTGCTGCTCAGTGTCCAGGACAGAATGTCAGGGTCCCACCCGCCCATCAATCAGCCCAGGGTCCCCACAAGTGTGGAGCAGCTAATGAGGCCCCTGCAGCAGCTAGGTCCAGGATATAAGGGACCTACTCCTAAAGAGTTACAGCGGCAGCATCCACGTAGTGCTCCGAGGTCACCTCGCCGGTTGCCACTGCGGGCCACCGCAGGATGCGCTCAGGGGAGGTCTGGGGTCGCCAGGGACAGGGCAAGGTAGCAGCAGGACCCCTACCTGTGGTGGAGAGCACGGTGCTGGCGAAGAAGAGCGCGGAGGTGAAGTCCCAGTTCCAGTTGCCAGAGGCATTGCTGAGCACCGACACTCCATAATTGCTGGCCTCCAGCACGCGGCCCAGGAACTGCTCCAGCTGCGGCTCCGACAGACACTCGTGTTCCTCCAGGAAGCGCCGCTTCAGCTTGCGCAGCTCCTGGCGCAGCAGGTCCTCGTAAGGCAGCTCCACGGACGAGAAGACCACGGCGCCGAACACTAGGTAGAGCAGGTAGCCCAGCACCAGGAAGCCGAAACACCAGGCCGAGCGGTGCCGCTCCACCAGGCGCACGCACGAGCTGCCGGCCAGGGACTGCAGCATCTTCCCGGCGCCCGCGCCCCGCGCCTCCCGCCGCCGCTCCCTTTCCTGGATCCCTGCAAAGAGAAGAGGCCAGATGATGTGGCAGTGACGTGGTTGCCGGCTCAGGTAGCAGAGTCGGCAGAGAGCGCGCACCCACTAGGCGGGAGCTGTTAGTTGCCCGCGCCCCCTACCTGGCTTCCTAAACCGGAAAGTGCAGGTTTGTTGGCGCCAGACTCTGGCCAGGCCACTCCGAGGCTGCCTGGCTCCCTCTTCCCTTCCCCAGTGCAGTCAGTAGGACTGACTCTGTGTGTGTGTGTGTGTGTGTGTGTGTGTGTGTGTGTGTGTGTGTGTGACTTCTGAGCAACAGTACTTGTCCACCCAGCCCCTATCCTAGTACATTCCCCCTCCCCAGGCATTCCTCCTGATTAAAGCCACTGTCGCCAAATACCAAGGGTACAGATAGAAACTGTCTTTCTCTATCTTGTTGGCTGGACAGCTGAAACATTTGCTGCCCAGACTACTGAAAATACAGGAACCTCACTCTAAAAAGCAACTTGAAACATCTTCCCACCCTTAGCCTCCACCTAGAACAGAAAGGAACTGAGGGTGAAGGAGAGGTCTAATACTTTAAAACATAGCCTCTGGATTTTAGCTTAAACAATACTCCCAATTACAGGCACTTCACGGCCAGGGGGCAGAAACGAAAACGTGGACTGGAATACTGAACTCTCTAGTACTGACAGTGGGCAGTGATGTTGAGAAAATGAGTACTACATGTCTGCAAAGACATGCATGTGGCTATGTGCTTCAAGAGTCCCAGAAGGGAGTGCATGTGTGACTTGACTCTGTGACCCTTCTTACAGGAAGATTGCCATATACATAAGATTCACCATAACTGTATCTTGTCCATATATGTCATATCACATATCATGCCTACTGTCTTTTTATTGTTGTTTGTTTGTTTTCTTGTTATTGAGACAGGCTTTCTTTGTAGCTTTGGAGCCTGTCCTGGAACTTGCTCTGTAGACCAGGCTGGCCTTGAACTCACAGAGATCGGCCTGCCTCTGCCTCCTGAGTGCTGGGATTAAAGGCGTGCGCCACCACTGCCGGGCCATACCTACTGTCTTTGTTAGGGTTTCCATTGCTGTGAAGAGACACCATGACCCCAACAACTCTTACAAAGGAGACCATTTAAGTGGGGCTGGCTTACAACTGAGCAGTTCAGTCCATTATCATCGTGATGGGAGCATGGTGGCAGGTGTACAGATGTGGTGCTGGAGAAGGAGCCGAGAGTTCTACATCTGGATCAGCAAGCAGCAGGAAGGCAAACAGACACTGGGCCTGGCTTGAGCATTTGAAACCTCAAAGCCCACCCCAGTGACACACTTCCTCCCACCAAGCCACACCCCGTCCAATAAGGCCACACCTAATAGTGCCACTCCCTATGAGCCTATGATGGTCATTCTTATTCAAACCACCACACCCACATAATGAAGATGTGTTCATGTCAAGAGTCAGGGACATTCTAAGAGCTCCTGAGTAGCAGGATGAGAGCAGGAAAGACAGCCTAGCTGGAGGCCTTTGGATCCCCAGACATGAGGTCAGATGCTCATGACCCACATAAAAAGTCTAAAATCATAAGAGCAAGCCTTGTAACGCCAGCACTGAGGGGAAAGAAACAGTAGGGTCCCTGGAGCTTGCTGGTCAGCTTTGCTAGCTCAGGTTCAGGAAGAGAACTGAGGAAAACACCTGACATGGAGCTTTGAACCATGTTTGCAGAGTCTGACAGTCCTCTTAGTAAAAGACAGAGTTGTGTCTCCTGTGCATGAGACTAGGTGACTCGAGACGATTCCGACTGACATTATTTGTTAGAGAAGACACGAGGTGACTTTTAAGGGTGGGTCGTACAAACTGCAGCTGCTGACCTTGACCCCATAGCTACCTATAGATGTACTGGGTGACAATCTGCTTAAGTACAACTTCCTGAGCATTTCGGAGAGACAGAAGAAAAGGAGTGTAGTTTATTCCCAGCCATCCAGATCCAGGAAACTTCTTATCTGCATGTGTCCCCTGGATCAGATAAATCTTCCATCCAGACTCTGCTTGAGAGGTTCTTGTTTTAAGGCCAAGTCTTGTATTAACTTGATACAGTCTATCTAATAGACAATCAGAACAAGATACATCTGGGTTGGGCTTTGAAGAGCATCATTAGAAGTTTTCTTTTAGATAAGTGATACATGCTTGTAGTCCCATTTCTGGAGGGTTGGAGACAGGAAGTCACTGACCAACCAATCTAGACTACTCGATGGGTTCCAACCCAAGGAGAGACCCTGCCTCAAAGAACAAGTTGATGGATGCTCAATAAAGGACACCTGAGCTTGTCCTGCTTGTCTTACACACACATGAACACACACACACACACACACACACACACACACGAGAGAGAGAGAGAGAGAGAGACAGACCGAGAGAGAGAGACAGAGAGAGAGAGACAGAGAGACAGAGAACAGTTTTCATAGACAAAGTCTCTTCTTAGTTGCTTGCTGATCACTTAGTGTCATCACTCTGGCAAGAGAACCAACCTTAGGGAGGAGACGTCTCTTGGGCTCATCAGTTCCTTTTTCAACCCTGGTTCTTTGTTCATTCCTTAACATTCAGTCTGTTCTCAGGCAGTGGCCATCAGCAGCCCAGGGTTTTGACCCTGGAGGACAGGAGACAGCAGAACGATTACAGTCACTGGAGAGAGGAGTCTGAGATTTGAGATCGGTGCACCATACACACATGTGGAGAACAGGGGATGTTTGGGAAACCCGGTTCTATCCTTCCACCCCACGGGTTCTGGGGATTCAACTCGGGTCATCAGGTTTGACCATGAGGACCTCTACCCACTGAACCATCCCAACTGTCCAGAGGACATTTTTGAAAGAAATCTTTGGGTCAGTGCAGTTGAGAGATTTGGTTATCAATGAAAAGCTGCATGATCTCCTCCAGACTGAAGAGCATTGTCGCCTGGTGCTGGGATCAACACAGAGAAATCGAGTACATGCAAAAAGAAGAAAAAAAAGTCATTTATGTTGGCCAAGGTGAGAAAATATATTTTCTTTCCCTTGTAATTTTCTTAGAGAGAAGAATCAACAGTGTAAGAGAAAACTAGTCATACCGTGATGCAGAGCGTGTGACATGTCTGGAAGCAGCTCAGATTGTTACACTGGGAAGCAAGAAATGCAAACTAGAAAGCAGGAGGTGTGTTAGAGGAATAGGAAGGGGTGGAGCTGCAGAGAGCATACACAATGTCTGCTGTTGAGTATAAGTGCTTGGTAGAACAAATTTAACCTTTGCTATATAGCCCAGACTGACCTTGAATTTGGGATCCTTCTGCCTCTACCTCTCCAGTGCTGAAATTCTAGACATAGGTCATTATCCCTGGGGGCAAAGTTTGATTTAATGTAGAATCCAGGGCAGATAAACCATTACTATGATTGAGTATCAGAAGTCAAATTATCCAGTGGGACCAGTGGGGACAGTGGAAGCCAGTCAGCATAAACCACACAAAGACACAACCCACACCCACTGCATGATTAAAGTAAATATTAACAAGACAGTAAGGAAAGGAGACACTTGACAAGACATAGACATGAATCTGGAAATGCCCTGGGGGCTATGAAATGAACAGCGGCGGCATTACATCATAACCGAAAGCACCTGGGAGAGAAGACTGCTTTATATCTCCGCTGGAGCAGTGGGTACACACGTGTAAAAATGCTTGCCGAGTTGTCGCTTGCACCCTTAATGTAATGTCGTTGCACCATCAATTAGATCTTAAAAGTGGAAAAAGGATTTCTGTCCCAGGAAAAAAAGGCAATATTCACTGCATTTAAAAAATGGATGAGTCCCTGTCCCCTACTGGAGAGAGACGTACTCATCTGTGCACATTGTCTCTATTCACAGTAGCCCAGAGATGGACTCAGTGGAGACGCCATGGCCTGACTAATGGATTGTGGAAGCGCGGTTCATATACACAATGGGATTTTATACAGCTGTGAAGTTAAGGGAAATGACGACATTCGGAGGTAAATGGATGGAACTGGAAAAGCAGTGTACGAAATGAAGTAGACAAGACCAGAGAGACAAACGTGCGTGCATGTGTGTGTGTGTGTGTGTGTGTGTGTGTGTGTGTGTGTTTAACTTGGGGTGCACATATAAGGCAGCAAATTAAAAGGGAACTGTTAGCAGTTTCTGGAGAGAAAAAAAGATCTTAAGGGAGAGGGGACAGTAGAACACAGGTGGCATGAAGGTGGGAAGAACACGGGCGGTGTGAAGGCGGCAGAACACGGGTGCTGTGAAGGCGGCAGAACACGGGTGGCTAACTGGGCAGTAGAGTAGAGGGCAGGGCAGAATGGGAGGTGAATAACTAACACTAAGGGTAATGAGAAATCCTCAGTAAACCTGAGCGGTGTGGGAGAATTGTCTATATTCTGTCAATCATATTTTAAATAAACGCTGATTGGCCAGGCAGAAAGTCTAGGTGGGTCAACCAGACAGGAAGTAGAGGTGGGGCGATGAGAACAGGAGTATTCTGGGAAGCAGGAAGCTCCCTTCGCATTCCTGCCCAAATCATGGAAGAAGCAAGATGTAACCTGCCCGGCTGAGAAAGGTACCAAGCCATGTGGCTAACATAGTTAAGGATAATGGGGTAATATATTATAAAGGAGCTAATACGAAGCCTGAACTAATGGGCCAATCAGTTTGTAATCTTATGGAGACCTCTGTGTAGTTTTCTTTGGGGCTTGCTGGCTGTGGGGAACTGGGCAAGACATAAACCCCAACAAGCAGGCCCCTTCATGTTACAAACCTGCTCTGCTGCCCCTTAGCTATGGGACCTTCTGTCTACTTGCAAAGCCTTTCTGTCCTTAAAAGGGTCACACATGCCCATGGTCTCCTTTATTTTAGGGACATCTCTGCCCGGGATGAATACTTCTGTCTCTGCTCACCTTCGGTCCAATGCTAGCCTTCTTCAGGAAGACTTCCCAAGTGACTGCCACTTCTGACCTTGCTCTCCCAGAGTGTCCACAGAAGGCCATTCTTGTGCGTCTGACCTTGTCGGATGAGGTTTGTCTCTTGGGATCTTTCATGAGGGTCTCACAAAAAGGCTAGAAAAGAGGCAGAACTCAGTTCTGTGGAAGAATACTTCCACAGAATACCCAAGACCCTGGGTTCAATCCTCAGTGCTGAAAACAAGAGCAGACTAGAGTTTAGGCGACATTAATACAGTGTCCGTCACATCGAAACAGAAACGAGGGCACTGAGGAGCTGATGAACCAAAAGAAAATGAAGGATTGACTAACAGTGGTTCTCCCAGAAGTAGCTGGCTGGCCGGTTGCCTTGGAACCCTGCAGTGGGAGATGAAAGGGGAGGAAATTGTAGCCACAGGAGGATACACTCACTAGTTACTTTTCTGTTGCTATGACCGAATACACGACACAATCAGCTTAAAGGAAGAAATAGTTACTTGGTTAAGTGTTGGAGAAGTTTTGGCCCACAGTCCTTGCTGCCGCTGATTCTGGGCTCGTGCTGAGGCATGACATGGTGCTAAGGACATATGACAGAAACGGGTTGTATCATAGCAGATGGAAAACAGAGAGGAGAAGGGGCTGGAACCCGAGTGTAACCTTCAGAGGTATACCCCCCGACCCAGTGAGTACAGTCTTCAATTAAGCCTTACCTCCTAAAGTTTCCAGAGCTTTCCAAATAACAGACCTCCTTGCTAGCAATGACCATACCATTTTGTTCCTTATTCTTTCTTCCCCACCTTGGTTAAACAATGATAATTCTTCAACCAGTTTGAGTTCCCAAACTTCAGCAGCTTGTTCTTGTAGATTATTGTATACACACACACACACACACACACACACACACACACACACACTCATCCAGTCTCGTAATGGTGGCCCCGCCGAGATGTTCCCAATACTCTGTAGCTCTCTGCTTACCCCTAGAACAATCAAGTACAGGTCAAAGAAAGGAAACTTCTCTTTTCTTCTTCCTGACTTCCTTTTTCTTCCCTCTAACCACTGCAGCCAGTAAGCAGACGGCTGGCTCTGACCCTCACACCAGGCACCCCTTTGCAGGTCTCAGGACAGGATAAAATCCTGGACGACCCTCCAAGTCGCTGGCTTCCTTGTCAGTCTCCTCTTGCTAACCATCCACACCTGGAGACAAATTATTCAATGGACAAGCTGGTGGGGGAACTGTCCAAATTCAGAACATAGCTCAAGGGTCATTTTATGGCGGTGTCCTGAGTTCTGGATGATGGTGAATTCTGGGGTCCAGCCTTTGCCATGGAGGAGAAAAGGCTGCACTCTGAGTATTGACATCCAATGTAGAAGACCAGGGTAGAAGGAAAAGCTGTGTGCCTTGGCAGAAAGTCACAGGGGGTGGCAAGTATTGGAGATGATGCTGGGTGAGGCTGAGTCCCCAGTGGAGGGTACCACCCCACTTCTTTACTCTAAGTCACAGATCACACTGCCCCCCTCCCCGATTCCTGGCACACACACAGACACACACCACTGCTGCCGGCACTGCCACCACATCCCCACCACAGGAGCCGTACAGGTGCTGGTCAGGCTGGACCAGGCTGTCAGTGCTGCCTGACAGGAGTCAGGCAGGGGTTGGAAATCTTGATTCTAGATGAGCCATGAACTTCAAGTCAGAACCTCTTTTTCTTTTGTGCACATTTTCGCCGCAAGCTTCCTTTACTAAGCCCGTTTTTATTTGGTGCTTTGAAGACTGTAGATAATTTCCAAAGAAAAAAATTCATTAGGCAAATTCCTCTGGGTAATGCATTACGATAACTGCGTAAGTAGGCCAGGCATTGTTTTCCAATTTCCACAGCTGAATGAACAAAGAATTTGGGAAATGCCCATCAAGGGCACCCTGGGTAGATGTTCCCAGCCTGAGCCTGCCCTCCAAATTGCAGCGCTGCAGGGCACACTGACAGGCCCACAGAAAGCACGCTTCCCAGACAATCACCATGCACTTGGCATTATGTTGGGAAAGGAGATTTAAGGACTTGGTAAGACACAGATCTCTCTTGCCAATGTTTTTCAAGGATCCTCACATTACTGAGAAATACACATGACCTACCCCTGAGAACCACTGAACACAGAAGAACATGTAAGAAGACAGAAAAGGAGAATGTTCCAACACGACTGCATTTGAAGCAAGAAGCTACTGTGTTGGCTATCTGCTTAGGACAACACCAAACGCTAAGAGAAACTAAGTGATGGTGGGTCCTGGTCAAAACACATGAGTTAACCATCCAGAATTTTAGAATAGCACACATCTTGCTGGGAGGGCAGCCCTAACAATGAACTTGGCACTAACAATGAACTAACAATGAACTTGGGAGGCTAGGAAGTGAAGTCTTCAGGACTCTCTAAGATCGGAGGTGCAAAGCCTTTCAGAGTTTGTAAGCAGACCAGATAGGAGCAACAGGCAATGCACCATGGGCCCATCCATCCATCTTCAGTTTGTGGACCTTTTCGTATCTTAGCATTTTAAAGTGCTTAATTGGATCCCGAGAAATCCTATCTCCAGGAGCTGAATAGTAATCGTTCTTTTACCCACTCTTCCCTGACCCTCTCCCCTCTCCTCCTCCTCCTCCCCCTCCTCCTCCAGGATTTCACTGATTATAATCTAATATGTGTGTTGTGTTGTTTCTAGGGTGGAGCCTGAAATTGAGGAGCCTCTAAGACACTGATTCCCAAGTCACATTGCCTGTGTAACCAGGGGATTGAGTGTTGGGACTAAAGCCATCTCCTTTCCCCTAAAGTGTGGAGAGATAACCAATCTGCCCTGGACTCAACCACGTCTGCCTGTAGAGGCTTTGCATCCCTGTGGCTGCAAATTGAAAAGAGTTTCTATTAAACCATGTCATTCCTGCAGCTTGCTAGCTAGATGGCAGCCGACTCTGTTTCTTTTCTTCTCTGATTCTGTCTCTTCTACCTATACTAGGTACCCAGCTACCCAGATTCTGGGGTTTTAAAGCAACCAGGAGCAGAGGTGGGATAGGAAAGTTGTGTGGGATTGTTGCTTGTTTGCTTTTGCCTTTTCTTGCCTGGACACTGAAAAATGGCATTCTTTCCTGGGCTCAAATATGTTTCCACATCCTTCAATCTACAGTTAGGAAAGTATCTATAGATGGAAAAGGACAGACATAAGGACAGGGTATCATACCTTGGAGTATTGTTTCTTAGTTTTGAATATATTCTCATGTCCTTACATTTACAGTTGGAAAAGCATCTGTGGGGATTGGAAGGACGGACATAAGGACATAAGGAGGTTGTTCCTTAGGTTTCAATGGTAAGGAGATGCTAATGGCGTCCTGTGCTCCTCTTCTCAGCTCTCTTCCTAACATTAGAACTAAACAGAATCAACTTATGGCCAGAAAAGCAAACTAACAGGGAGGCAATAACAAGGTACAGTAACCATGGTAACCTAGCACTGAGCATATGGGAAAGACTTGAACCATCACATACCACACCACCCCCATCCTGTGTGAATGAAGATGGGGTTTGGCCCTGTGCTCTGGAAAGAAGAGCAGAAAATCCACTCTGAGGTAAGGCCAACCTTTTGATTAAAAAAAAAATATTGTGGGTTCCTGGCTTGACTAATGGTTCACTTAGTGAGGACCCTGTTATACCTCATACAGGGTCCCCTCTCAATTAATCTTGATGACTTGACTCTGAAAGCCTGACCCTGTTGGAAATTAATAAAAAAAGAAGAAGAAGAAACACAATACAGAAACTAGACTCTGACAGAAAATTAGAGCATGCTCTATGATGCTGAGGCATCAAGTCCCAGAGGATTTCCGTCCTTTGGGTTTTCTTGCTCCTGTATTCCAAACCATCCACCTCAAGGGGCAAGATAATGTCTCCTACCACTGTAAGTTCCCAACATGGAGTGCTGGGTGCAGGGTGTAGGCTCAGGAAATGTGTGTTGGGGAACAGACACCTTTTCGAAAGAGCCAGGCTATCTCTGAACAAATCACAAAGACTCATTTTTCTTCTTTGCGCCCATGCATGTGTGCATGCATACGTGTGTGTGTGTGTGTGTGTGTGTGCGCGCGCGCGCGCAAGGGCATGTATATGTACACACACACATACTTATGTGTACATTTACATGTGGATGTCAGATTCAACCTTGGATGGCATTCCTCGGGAGCCATCTACCTTACTTTTTGAGACAGGATCTCTTGTAAGACCTGGGCCTCCCAGGTGAGGTTAGGCTAGGCTGGTCAGTGAGCTCTGGCGAGCTGCCTACCGATGTATCCCCAGTACTGCAATGACAAACACACAGGTGACCTTTTACACATGGGTCCCGGGAAACAAATTCAGGTTCTTGTGTTTGTTAGACTGTGCTTCACCGAGCTATCTCAGCAGCCCCCTGGCTCTTAAAATCATTGTTCTAAATAATAAATTAACTGTTACCAAAAATTAGCAAACCTCATGCTGGCATGTCTGTCACTATCAGCTGAGATAGCTCTCGGGGACAGTTACTGAAGTCTGGGACCAGTGAATTCTGGTGACAGGATTGCATGTCTAATTCAATCTCACAGCTGTGCTCCTGTGATAACTTAAAAGGGTGTGAAGAGGTGTGATTTTGCTTTGGTCAAATATCCTCTCTCAGGTTTAGAAAAATATGCATCAAGCCTCTACACAAGGCTAAATCTGTAAAAGAACCTCTGTGTGTCTGGGGTCAGTACACAAATTCTATAGATTTCTGAAAATGAATGACGCAACCTTTGATACAGTTATCACGCTGTCTCATGAACGTCCTGAAGCACTGGCTGGTAGCATGCAAAACTGGAAGTCATTCGGTAGCCTGGGGAGTGCTCCAAAGGTCTTTGCGATCTCCATCTTGTGTGGACAGGAACTGCCTGGAAGTAAGCTCTGCTTCTTAGGAATCGCAAGGCCCGAGTCCACCTGTAACACCTGCGCCCACTCTGCCTGGAGCCAAGGGGAGGGGCTACGGTTTGTACACGTGTTCCCTGAAAGTCCCCGTATTGAAGGTTTGTGCGCCCACCCTGACACTCCAGGCTTGGATGACCCTGCGAGGTCGTTGAACCTTTTGGGAGTGGGAGGAAGGCGGTTGTTTGAGCTGTGGCTCCATTCTTCTCCTTTCTGTCTACTCCTGGGTTCCCAAGAAGTGAGCACCCTCTGCTGCTACACAGGACCACCAGGATACAAAGGCAAATGCAGATCAAGTTTACCCAGCAGCCCACACTGAACTCAGCGACCCCCAAAGGCTGAGTCTCAAGAAACCATTGACTTTTCTCAAAGTTGACTCACCTCAGGTGTTTGCTACAGTAGTAGAGAATTACCTAACAAAGCAGAGCTGGGATCCTCGGCAAAAGCTGACTGTACTGGAGATGCCGCTGGGCCCTGGGGCAAGACATCCGGGATTTCAGGGAAGACACTTCCTTTTCAAACACAGGGGCATCATTTAGACGGAGGCAAAGACAAATGCTGAAGGCAGGGGACCCCTGGCACCAGATCGCATAGGCCTTTGCCTTTCTGGTCAGAGCTCCTATTCCAGATCTTCTCAGGGTGGCTCCTCCCCTGGGGCTTCCTTTAAAAGATGTGTGACCATTCTTTCAAGCACAGACTTGCATAGGATACAACATCTAGGATAAAGAAATGAAGCCCCATTCACAGGCTCTTGGTTAAAACCCTTTAGTCTTTCAGTCTTTCGGATTTTCTCAATATGATCTGAGGCTGTGCCTTGAAATCAAACACATTAATTTTTTTTCAACCGAAGTAGGTATTATCGCCACTCTATGTTGATTATTATAAGTGGTCTTAGCCATTCTAAGTTGATTGAGTATTGTAATTGATCTCAGCCCACCTCAAAACAAATTTGCAATCAGACAAGTAAGGGAGATGGGGTTCTGATGCCAAATGCATTGTGGGAAATTCTTTTACTTCTCAGGTCTTCTAGGTTTCTAAAAGGAAGTAGGGGGTGGGGTGAGGGTGTGCGTCTCACTCTGTAGCTCTATGTGGCCTAGAATTCAGGCTGGCCTTGAATTCACAGAGATCCACCTGCCTCTGAGTGCTAAGACTGAAACCATGTGCCACCACACCTGACTGTGATTTATTATTTGTTTCTGATGAATCGAAAATTAAAGGTTTCTTTTTTTTTTAATCACATCTGTTTGTTTATATGCACGTGTCTGTGTATGGGTGCATGCATGCCCCAGAGAGAGAGAGAGAGAGAGAGAGAGAGAGAGAGAGAGAGAGAGAGAGAGAGA